TCCTTCCTTGACAGGCTAATGAGGATCCAGAAAAAAATCCTATTAGATGTTGCAAAAAATCACTCAAGGGAAATTCACAAAAGTTTTATAGAAATATATATATATATATATATATATATAAATTCAATAAACCATGCTCAGTACAATAACGTAAATAATGCCTCTAACAGACACTGAAGATGCTATAATGCTAGCTGCCTGTCTCAGGCTTAAAAATTAATGGCACGAAATAAGCATGAAGTCAGTGATCCAGAATTAGCATGCAGCCACTGAAGTCAGTGGTCTGGAATAAATATGTAGCCAGGAAAGTCAGTGGCATGGAATATCTATGTAGCCAATGAAGACAGTAGCCCAGAATAGTCATGCAGCTAGTGGAGTCTGAACTGCATAATTCAAAGAACTATTTTTACTGAATTAGGATAGCAGCCAGATATTAGAATTTTAAGAAAGAGGACAAATGGTAGTACAAATAGTGTGTTCAATTTTTAATGTACTTGGACTGTAAAGTTCACTATACATGGAGGAAACAAATCACTCAGGAATGAATCCTCAAACCCGCCTGTACTTTTCTCCAAGTATGCTCAACAATTCCTCTCAAAGAGTTTGTTCATCCAAAAGATTTATGCTATAGGTAGGGCATGACATGGATGCTTCAACCACAATGTCGGGTTGGTGATCTCCCTACTAAGATCTACATGTCAACAATTCCTCTTAAAGGCTTTGCATACCCAAAAGGATTTAAATTATAGGTGGGGCATGTATTGAATGCTTCAACCACAATGTCTCCCTGCCATCATTTCGGTCTTTGTTCCTGTCCACCTGGGAGTCTTGGGTTTTTCACCCAGCTCTGCATCTTCTGCATTTTCCAGTTTGCTTTTCCATACTATTATATAAATATCAAACAGGGAGAATGGATAACAGGTATCCTCCTGACCTAGGGCAGGATATCTAAGAGGTAGATGAAATTATTAGGTGGTTTAACTAAGCAGCAAGAAGCAAAAGCTGAAATATCAGTTGTACGTGATTTTCTACAGTCTTTTCGCCTGATCAGGTTGGCACATCTTTTTACATTGAGCGATAAATGAAAAGCTTTCTACAATCCTCTTTTTACCACCACTGGATAATTGAACTGTATTAATGGATTTGTGTTCCATCTTTTGGTTCTACATCCATATGAAAGAAGAGTGATGACAAAAACAACATACAGATGGTATATCAAAAGAAGTATTTTCAGAAAATTGTTTTCTCTCCTGTACTCTACCCAGGTGACAAAGCGCATGTGGCACTTTGTCCTATCTTTCTAGCCTGTCTCAATGATACAAAGGTGGTCAAAACAACACACACACAATTTCCAACCATACATCTAGCAAAGGGAGAATATTTAAGTTCATTCACTGAGAGAAGTGTAGTCATTAGGTATCCTGCAGGAGAGGGTGTGTCAGTTTCCCCTGCTCCACCCCTTCTGTCTTTTTATTGGTTGCTAGGATACAGAAAGCCCCCCATCACACAGCATCCTTGGTTGCTAGGACCCAAGTGATCTCCTGCACCATAACCACTGAAAACACAGCCCCACCACCTGTGTCCTAGCAACCAAGGACTCTAGGTGGCAGTGGAAGCCTGTGTCCTAGCAACAAATAAAAAAAAAGGGAGGCGGTAAAACAGGGAAACTGGGTGGGAACCCACTAGCAGGCACATCCTCTCCCCCAGATGCACTCACTGGGCTCAACGTTCGTAACACCCAGAAATCGGGCTTTTATCAAGGGAGGATCAGACAAGGGGAAGGAGGGGGTTTCTTCACATTTCCATACCTTTTCAGTGGGGCAACAAATTCAGATATTTAAACTTGATTGCATGGACTGTAATTAATTTTTAATGCAAATAAGATTTCTTCTTTAAATATTTAATCTTTTTTTAGTAAACTAAGTGCGACACCATGACAGCACAGTAAAATACCGGATGTACAAACATTCCTACAGACTGCCAATATGTATAACAGATGATCATAAACAATTCCATATGACAAAAACTATATACAGATGTAAGAAGACAAACACTGTAATAAAATGTAATCTTCTCTCTTTACCCCAAGTGTCATGTTGCTTACTTTATCAAAGGACTGCTGTCACCGATATGTCACAAACATGTCAAGTTCCCCAAAAGCGTGTATTTTACTGGCATAAGTGCCATAAATCATTCATTTATTGAAATAAACAGGCAAGCACTGTCCTCAGATACTGACACCGCTATTATTTAAGAATATAAAAAAAAAAAAACAGAGGAGACAGCTGCACAGAACTTTAAGAGATTCTCTCACTGGCAACATGCACTCTACAACACAAATACTGAAACAATCTATCATTCATTAACACTTCAAAATAGGTCATTTTCATTAGTAAATACAAACACTGTGAAAATGCAAATGTCAGTCTCTTCAACCTCTGTGTTTTCTGTTCTGAAATTCAAATGTTATGAACATCTGTACCTGTTTATGCATTTAAGTCACAGTTTCTGTAATGCTCTAAAGGGGTATTAAACCCAAAAGCAACCATTTATTATGTTATCTTACCAATTCTTAAATAAGATGTCTACATTTGTTTTCTGTTTTTGTCTTTCTTACTTTTATTTTCACCTGGTGATCCTGTCAGTAAGTCTGTTTTTGTTTTTCTCAAAAGAACAAGCTGTCCTGCCAATTTAGCAGTTACAGGGTTGCATCAAACCATTTACTACTGACAAGGGTGTTTATAATGATCAGATTTTATATTTTGTAAAACCTTTATCCCAAAAGGAAAAAAGCTGTTTGCTGTATAAAGTGTTAGCTGGAGTTCAGCTTCAATTTGTTAGTGTATTTAGTGTATCTAGTCCATCTAACACTCCCTTCTCCCCAGATTAACAATGCTGCTGTACATGGGTGCCTGTGCTCCTTCATCCAGAGTGGGGGCACTCTAATACAGGAGGTTTGTTACTGGCCAGAGCACCAGATGGACACAGAGGGGGAAAAAAAAAAAACAAAAAAAAAAAAAACCAATACATCCTCCACATCTAATGACTGATAAGCTGCAATGTTACATTCTTCTGGTTTTGAGTTTATATAATCATGCTCATGATCCTCAATGAAGTTAACCCCTTTTTGAAGCCGCCTCCTGGCCCTTTAAGAGGTTCTAAATGTCGGGAGGCAGGCATTCCGATCATGTGACTGCTGTGACTGGCAGTCACAATGGTCATGATCGGAAAGCTCCAGATCGCATGCATGCAACGGGAGCTTTCCGACACCAGCTGGCCACCTGTCGAGAAGCTGTGCACTGGTGCAGTCACTTTGGAACAGGAAAGGGCTACCTCCAAACTAATCCAACAAAGTTGGGAGCTCGAAACTGTCCAATATGCCTTGGTATGCTGATGTCTTAAGAGTTCCCTTCACTGGAACTAAGGGGCCAAGCCCGACCCCTGAAAAACAACCCCTCACCATAATCCCCCCTACACCAAACTTTACACTTGGCACAATGCAGTCAGGCAAGTACCGTTCTCCTGGCAACCGCCAAACCCAGACACATCCATCAGATTGCCAGACAGAGAAGCATAATTGGTCACTCCAGAGAACTTGTCTCCACTGCTCTAGAGTCCAGTGGTGGCGTGCTTTACACCACTGCATACGACGCTTTGCATTGCACTTGGTGATGTGAGGCTTGGATACAGCTGCTTGGCCATGAAAACCCATTCCATGAAGCTCTCTACACACTGTTGCTGTGTGTGTGTGTGGAGGTCTTTAGCTATTGACTCCGCAGACAGTTGGCGACTTCTGCGCTCTGTGTGCTTCAGCATGCACTGACCCTTCTCTGTTTCCTCCCACACTCCAAAGACACGCTGGTAGGTGAATTGGATCCTGTCTAAATTGGCCCTAGTATGTGTATGTATGAATGTGAGTTAGGGACCTTAGATTGTACGTCCCTTGAGGGTTAGGGACTGATGTGAATGTACAATAATATATATGTAAGAGCGCTGCGTAAATTGACGGCGCTATATAAGTACCTGAAATAAATAAATAAACCTATCACGATACCATGCCTAAATTCACTGAACTCATGAGAGTGACCCATTCTTTCACAAATGTTTGTAGACGCGGTCTGCATGCCTAGGTGCTTGATTGTAAACACCCTGTGGCCATGGAGGTGATTGGAACAGCTGAATCCAATGATTTGGTGGGGTGTTCCAATAATTTTTGCAATATAGTGTGTGTGTGTGTGTATGTGTGTATATATATTTATATTTATACACGCACACATACACACACAGCATGCACCTGTTGGACTACAGAACACAACCTCTCATGGCAATGAGGATGGGGAGGTTTTCTGAAGTCCTAAAACACATCTTGATCTAAGGTGACAACATTGCTCCTCTCTAGATATGCTCAGTGAGTGAGCTTTGTCCCAGTAGGACAAGGAGTGTGTTACCAGCAGGATCACCAGGTGAAAGAGCTTAAAAAAAATTATTAAACAGAAAACCAAAGCCACCACACACCAACAAAGGACTCATAAGCTGCAACATTTTTGTTATTTTGTATAGATACACTTGAAGTTCAGTCTAGGTAACCTGAATTCTGGTCAGCAGGCATGACAAATAAACAAGTAAAAAAGAAAAAAAAATACCCATTCTGGTTGGACACAAGCATCCTTCCACATATTTTTCCAATACAGAGAATTACTGCATTTCATAATTTGTTTTCTTTTATAACCATGCTTTTTTTGTTAATATCATTGATGCCAGATTCTTTTTAATCAGCAACAAATTAATATTTTTTTATTAGATCATGACAAAGGTGGGTAGCTGCTGTACAAACGTAAAAGCAAATGTATCTGGTACATATAAAAGAGAACAATTGTGTGAAGTCTTACATCTCAAGGGGTTTGTAGGAAGTGTAGCAAGACAGAAGCTAGAAGTGTTACTTGTGTTTCAGCATTTTAATCTACCAAAAGTACAGTGGTGTAGAGAGAACGCATACCAACCTGGCACAGCAGGGGGAGAGCTCATTGTATCCTCCAAATGATGCATTTCTGACAAGCTTTCGTCCATCAGGCCTTGGGAGGAAGGTGCCAGGTGAGACCCCGGCACATGACCTGCGCCTCAGGAGGCCCTCTTCTTTCATGGCTCAGGCGTACTGTCAATTTGAAGGCTGCTTAGAACAAAAAGGGGGCAGCTATTGCCTAAGACCATCACACAACACACATACAGCATACACGACATACACTTCCAATGTGTTTTCATCCAGATGTGAATGAGGTGGCCCTTTTCAGCAAATGTTACTAGTGTTCAAGCTCCTTCGACTATTCACGCCTGAAATCAATGCTAATTAGTAATGCAAAAAAGGCCAGGAATTCATTTGGATGGTTTCTGCTGTTAAGATCCACCAACCACAATACAATTATAAATTTGGAATGACTGCAATTAATTAATTGCCAAAGATGGCTTTTCTAGAATATATTTCTCACAGCGTGAGGGCACAAAATCTGTTCTGTGTCTCCTTATGCCTAATTATTACAGGACATTTTTTTTGAAACACATCAAAAATATGATTCATTTCCTGTGCTTGTCAGCATACAGAGATCCACAGTACTGAATACACTAATACTACTCTATCAGTCTTTGGTGACTGTAGCAGTTTGGCAAAGATCCTGGCCTGCCTTTGTCCTTCCATGTACCTGCACAATAACCCACTGAATGATTTAGAGTGTATTTATTGCAACTTGCTTAATAGCAGCCAAACATACAAGTATGAATAGTTTGGCAGGAAAGGAGCAGAGCCACGTCATGAAGCCAATACTGCCATTTCCAATGACATTTGAATATATTCTTAATGCGCCAACTACACTCCTAAAGAAACTGTTAGAGGGGAAAATAGAAAATCATAAACATTCTATTTTATGTATCTCTAGGTCCTGCTGAAGGGAGGTGTTGAGGGGTGACAACTTGTCATTATATTGTGTATCCCTCAAAAATGGAGATAGATGTACAACTCAGAGAATTAACTTAAGTCACACACATACAAGGGTACTTCTGAACTGAAGAAAAAACATAAGGCTTTGCAATGTTTAAAGGCCACACAGAAACTTTTTGTCAGGCAAGTAATCATCACATGCCAGACGAAGCAGACTTGCATGCTGACAACATACATGGATCAGCCATAACATTATGACCATCGACAGGTTAAGTGAATAACATTTTATGATCTCATTACAATTGCATCTGAAAGTGGGTGGAATACATTAGACAGCAAGTGAACATGTTGTTGTTCCCGAAGTTGATTTGTTGAAAACTGAAAAACATGGGCAAGCGTAAGGATTTGAGTGACTTTGACAAGGGCCAAATTGTAATGGCTGTACAAGTGGGTCAGAGAACTGAAAAGAATAGGCGCTGTGGAAAATGCTCTCATTCAAGCACCTTAATGAAGGTTAACAAGTCTTGGTAACCCTGCATACGCTCCCAGCTGAAGCCGACACCGAACACTGCCTTCCGCCCTTTGCTTGCCATGATGACACCACCTGGGACGCCGGTATGCCGACACCTCGTGATTCGAAGCCGACAGGAGCATTTTCCGATCTCAGCTCCCTTCAGAGCAGACGGGCTGTCCTTCGGAGTCACACTGTTCACTTCAGGCTGGTCAAATTTTATTATATTTGCTACTTTATCTCACTTAATAAAGATGCACCTTCATTAAGGTGCTTGACTGAGAGCATTTTCCACAGCGCCTATTCTTTTCAGTTCTCTTCATCATGCAAAAGATTAACAAGGCAGCAGTGGTGAGCTCATGGTCAACTGTTCACATGCTTCCACCTGGAGTGGCCTCTCTGCGCTCAATTGTATGAGTTTTCCTACAATTGGGTCAGAGCATGTCCAAAACTGTAGCTCTTGTGGGATGTTCCCAGCCTGCACTGGTCAGCACCTACCAAAGGCAGAAAAAACAGTAAATCTGTGACAGGGTCATGGGTGGCCAAGGCTCATTGATGCACGTAGGGAGCAAAGGCTGGCCCATGTAGTCTGAGACAATAGAAAAGCTACTGTAACTCAAACTGCTGAAAATGTTAATGTTGGTTCAAATAGAAAGGTGTCAGAACAAACAGCGCATCACAGTTTGTTGTGTATGCGGCTGTGCAGCCACAGATTGATCAGGGTGCCTGTGCTAACTCATGTGGTCTGATGAATTCAAGAACTGTTGGACAAACACAACTTTGAGCTGTTGACTTGGCCTTCAAAATCTCCACATATTAATCTAATCAAGCATCTGTAGCATGTTCTGGAAAATCAGGTCAGATCCATGGAGGCCTCACCTTGCAATGTACAGGACCTGCTACTGACGGCTTGGTGCCAGATACCACAGAATACCTTCAGAGGTCTAGAGGAGGCCATGCCTTAACGGGTTATGGTGGGTGGTCATATTGTTATGGTTGATTGGTGTATGTCCTTTGTCATGTGCTAGTACCAGCAAACCTGCTTGCAGTCGCTACAGAACCCTCTTACTACAGGCCTTGTCCGGGAACAGAATGTGTGACATACAAAATTGGAGAAGGTAAAGAACAAATATGGAGTTGACATCAAAGCTTTCTGCACCTCGTAAGAAAGGGTGAATTTAGCTTCCCGGTGACATGGATGCAGCAAATCACTTCAAATTGGTCCATGCACACTGGCTTAAAAAACACCAGTGGCCTTGCAGGAAAAACAAACATTTTTAGGTTTTTTTTGTACTGGTGTTTAGAACAGTTGAGTTTTTTTTCTGCCAGAAAACCTCTCTCAAAAAAATCAAGCCTCTAAAAGCTGAACTTAAAGTATGCCTCTAAATTACCTAATGTGCATGGACACCTAGGATAACATTAGTTGCTTCTACAGGCAAAATGCTATAGGCATTTAGGAGCTGCATTTTTTTTTTTTTTTTCAAAGCCAGTGTGCATGGATCCTAAATGGTCTAACTTAAAAGCAGCCAGAGAAACCTTCAATAAACAGAAACCTTCATCACTGCTTCTTTAAAGACTGAACATTTGACTGAATTATTTAGAAGAGACCTTAACAAACAAAATGGCATCTGATTGCTCTGGGCTTCTACCCTTAAAAAGAATGCCACCTGTGTTAAGTCCCATTTCATACATAACAGAAATTGGCACAAATGAGGCAGAACTACACTGTCTATAGCAGAGTTAAACAATGCAGAAATCAATTCTCCCAAAATGAATACTGTTATTGTAAACAATGGTTGAAAATCATCAGTTTTGACACTCGCTGCATAGACTCAAAGGTTCTCAACAACATTCTATGTCTAGGAGCTGGAGATAATCATTGAAGATGGCCATTTTAACACCACCTTGGTTATCTAGTTAGCAAGCTGCCCCATGCACAGACACTTCATTCTTGGTGATAGATCTCCCTTAAAGTGGATTTTTTATAACCCTATCCCCATTTTCTGTACTTTACCTGTGCTAAAATGCTCTAAAATTTTCTATGGGCTGTCTGTGCATTTGTCCCATGCCACCCTAACACTTATAAATGAAGCACACCAGGGCAGGTGCAGTATTACTCGCTTTGCACAGGAAGAGCAGATCTAAAAAAAATGACTGTGCAGTTGGGGGCCACAGCCAGTGAGTGCTTAATCGATATAAAAATGTTGATTAATATAAGGGTGTATTATAGTATTAGGGAGTATAGATATGTCATTGTAGAACAATGACTTGAGCTTTATGTTTCTGTATTTCTGCTTTCAGAGACCTGCATTTATCTTGAATAAAATCAATACCATACCATATCACAAATGAAGCATGTCGCCCAGGAGAGAAAACGCATTGATCGGAGGTTTTTTTTTTTTTTTTTGAGTAGGCTTGAGGGAACTGGATGCTTTTAACAGCATCACTTGGACTGTTGTCATCTCTCAATGCAGGGCTGAAGAAAGCTTTGAATTTACTAAACTGAACTCCTAAACACAGCCAGCAGAACCCTGAAAAGAAAGCCGTGTCTCAAGAATTTGTTTTTTTGACGTAACAGGAATATTGTTTTCAAATTTCAGAAACCCCTGCTATATATTTGTTATGTGTTTCCATTCACACAGCATATCATTTTTTAAAATATTTCTTAGCTTTTAGATGTTTACCAAAAGAAGGCCCCATGGCTGATTCAATGATTTCTGAACCATGGCAGAGTGAGTCTGTCCTAACGACATGCTCAGTCTTCTCTCATGAACATACAATGCCAGAAGCCCTGAGTACTAACTATCCTTAACAATGTTCCCTCCTCCATCCTATCCTGTCTACCCTAGTGTCACCAAACAATGCCTGCTGGGGAGAGGAGGGAGCGCTCCACATTACGGAGGCTGTGATGTATCACCCAGAGGTCCCCATGTCCCAGCCATTGCTGGCATTCCATCCTCTCCCCTGCAGCTGCTACTCACTGACACAGGGGAGATGGAGCTGTAGGATCATGTGACAGGATAGGATCAGACTAAAAAGTATAAACATTTTTTTTTTTTTTTTACACAGGGTAGACAGGATAGGTAGGAGGAGACGGAGGGCACATTTTTAAGCATAGTGTTAGGCTGGAATTCTACTTTAACCCTTTGTTAGGTCAGACAGCCCCAACTTTCAAATCTAGTTTACAACTGATATTTACTAGCACAATACAGACAGGGTCAATTGTGGAAAACACAGCTGTGTCTAGCCCCCCGCATAAATAAAGACAACTAGTAGGATTTTACAGTGCTGGAATTTCCAGAATAGAAAGATATCTAAAAAAGGCAAGCTGAATTTTTTAATAGTCATGCTGTGTGAATGAGAACATGTAGCAAATATGAAATAGGTGTTAACCCCAGTCTGTGAGATGGGCTGTAAAACACCAGCTAGGACTCCATAACCAGCTAAAATGGTTCTAAACTTGTTTTTTTTTTTCTTTTACACAAATGCATTCTCTACATTATGGTAAAAAGCCTTCCATTACCTGCCCCCCCCCCCCCCCCCCCCCTCCAATCCCTAAACACTCTCTCAATCAACCATTGTGCTGCTGCCTGCAGCGCTGCTGCTCTCTCTTCCTGGCCTCAGAGGAGACTATGATTTCAGCAAAAGCAACAGGTTCCTGCTGCTGTCAATCAAATCTTGTGAGGAGGGACCAGGGCAC